TCCCCGCCACGCTCCCCTCGCCACGGAGTACCTCCCCGCCCCGCTCCCCCCTCAGAGCTCCCGGGTTTAGAACACCCTAGTACCCCCTAGCTTGCCAAACTAAACAGCACCCTTTATATCTATGCAATAAATTCAAGCAATTATCCGTCCCGAAACGCATAGAGACGGTAAGAAACGCGAAAGTATGCTACAATTGCTTACGCTCGCACCGAGACAGCCCGTGTAAATTTTCCAACTGTACGATATGTCAGAAACGACACAACACGCTTCTGCATCTGGATCAATACGCGACCGCGATTAAGTCCAAAACGGCAAAGACAGAATCAACGCAAACCGAATGACTAGCCGAGTCAAGTACTGATCGTGCAATGAGCCTCGCGACGGTAACGCCTGTCGCCACGCCGCAACTATTAACGAGCGCATTGATATACATACACGATCGCGAGCATAAGCGTATTAAATGCCGCGCGTTATTAGATACGTGCGCGACGGCGAATTTCATCTCAGAGTCCATTGTAAAACGATTGAAGCTGTCGGTGATCAAACATTCATTGCCCATTGGCGCGATTGGTACCTTGAAAACGGAATCGAGAGGCGTAATACAAATAACCATACAATCAATGCGCGATGAATTTCGTAAAAACTTGATATGTTTGACGATACCGACTATCGCCGATTCAATCCCGGCTGAAGTATTTCCGCGCGGATCAGTCAAAATACCGGCAAACATTAAGTTAGCAGACCCGGAATTTCATCTACCGCGTGCCGTCGATTTATTAATCGGTTCAGGGGCAACGTTGTCGTTGTTTTCCGTCGGACAAATCAATCTGACACGCGAAGGATGCGATTTATATTTGCAAAAAACGCGATTAGGTTGGATCGTAGCCGGCGGCGTACCATTACAAGATTCGTCAAAAAACGCGTGCCATCTATCGAATCTTGAATCACAAATAGCCAAATTTTGGGAGATTGAAGAAATCCCCATGGATAAACCCAAGGCGAGAGAGGATGTCGAATGCGAATCGCATTTTGTAAGAACCACGACGCGCGACGAGGACGGGCGGTATACGGTTCGTTTACTGTTTCGCGACACAGACAAACGCCTTGGCGAATCGCGGACAGGCGCGCTCAGACGTTTACTAGCATTAGAACGCAAATTCGACATGAACGCAGTATTAAAACGCGAATATTCTAAGGTAATAGATGAATATTTAAACTTAGGGCACATGTCGTTGATAGAGAATCCCGACGATGACGGATATTACATGCCGCATCACGCGGTGATTAAAGAATCAAGCAATACCACTAAGGTTCGAGTGGTATTCGACGCATCAGCCGAATCAAGTAATGGCGTATCCTTAAATGACATGTTAATGATAGGGCCCACCGTTCAAGATAAATTATTTTCCCACGTAATCCGATTTCGCACATACAAATACGTCATTACCGCGGACATCGAAAAAATGTATCGGCAGGTACGATTGCACGCGGATGATCAACGGTATCAGCGAATTCTTTGGCGCAGAGCCGGGAAAATCGAAACTTATCAGCTCAACACTTTAACATTCGGTGTTTCTTCCTCATCCTTTCTGGCGATCCGTGTAATGCAACAGCTCGCGGACGACGAACGCCAAAATTGTCCAAAGGCCGCCGAGATTCTTGCTAATGATTTGTACGTGGACGATTTATTAACCGGCGCCGATACAATCGACGAAACTCGCGCGATTAGAGACGAATTGATCGCATTACTAGTTCGTGGCGGTTTTACCATCCGGCAATGGGCATCCAATGACGAACGCGTTGTTAAGGATTTGAAACTCGACGAACTGCACGCGAGCTTCGCGTTGAATACGGATCGATCTCTGAAAACGTTAGGAATAGCATGGGACGCTCACGACGACAAAATATATTATTCGGCGCGTCCGATCAAAACCACGGAAAGATGGACGAAGCGAAGCATTTTGTCGGAAATCGCCAAAATTTTCGATCCGATAGGATTGTTAGGACCGATCATCCTATATGCTAAGAAATTGATGCAAGATATATGGCGATGCGATTTACAATGGGACGAATCCGTGCCTCAAGATATATATACCGAATGGACAACGTTTACTCGACAGCTCGGATCGATGGATCGAGTGTCATTTGACCGTAGACTATTAATAGATGACCATTGTGACGTACAAATTCACGGGTTCTGCGATGCAAGTAACGTCGGCTACGGCGCGTGTTTATACGTACGTTCCCGCGGAAGAAACGAAGACACGCTCGTTAGATTATTATGCGCGAAATCTCGAGTCGCTCCCTTAAAAACCATCACCATTCCCCGGCTCGAACTCGGCGGTGCTCTGTTACTAGCGCGCTTGTATCACGAGACACGTAGCGCTTTGAAGATAATTCCCAATAAAACGACCTTTTGGTGCGATTCAACCATCGTACTGCATTGGTTAAAAACGTCACCACATCTCCTTAAAACATTCATCGCGAATCGAGTCACGGAAATACGGGAAATTACCAATGCACAGGTTTGGCGACATGTCGGATCAGATGACAATCCGGCGGACGCACTATCCAGGGGTCAATTACCCCATGCATTTTTGCGAAATTCTACGTGGGCCGTGGGCCCTTCGTGGTTGAGCAAGAATGAGGATGAGTGGCCGAACGAAGTCATAACGAGAATTGACATACCGGAATTAAAGCAAAACGCGTGCTTAATGTCGATGAGCAACGATTTTAATATTTGGGAAAGGTATTCGTCACACTCCAAATTAATTAGAGTCATCGCATATTGCCTCCGTTTTCGACCTTGCAACAAACAAACCGGACCACTAGACGCCAACGAAATTAAAAACGCGGAAACGCGAATCTTAAAAATAGTTCAGGCCAATCAGTTTCACGACGTAATTAAAATTCTACAAACTAAGGGCTCCGCGAATCAAAGTAAGATCGCCAATCTAAATCCATTCCTGGATGACGATGGATTGCTTCGAGTAGGGGGACGGTTACAAAGGGCAAATCTAACATTCTCTCAAAAACATCCGATCTTACTCCCAAGCCGACACCAATTAACCGATAACATCATTCGCGAAACTCACCAGAAATACCATCATACGGGTATTCAAACCACCCTGTATCTTATGCGACAAAGATTCTGGTTGATCGACGGTCGTAATCAAGTTTGAAAAATCGTACGAAGTTGTATGCGTTGTTTTCGGTTTGATGCAAACCCAATTGAATACAAAATGGGAAACCTACCTCAGGCACGCGTTCGCGAAACATTTCCATTCTCTCGAACGGGCGTTGATTTTTGCGGCCCTTTTTATGCGAAGGAAAAGAAATACCGTAATCGAAATCGAATCAAGGTATACGTATGCGTATTCGTATGTATGTCAATAAAGGCCATACATCTCGAGGTAGTGAGCGAGCTAACGTCAGATGGCTTTCTCGCGGCTCGACGCGGTCTACCGGAACACATTTATTCGGATAACGGCACTAACTTCGTGGGAGCGAATAACCAGTTAAAAGAATTATATGTTTTACTCAATTCCGAAGAGCACAAGAATACAGTGAACAGGTTCGCGAGCGAGCATCGCATCACGTGGCACTTCATACCTCCCGCCGCCCCACATTTTGGCGGGTTGTGGGAGGCTTCCGTAAAAAATTTCAAACACCATTTTAAACGCGTGTTGGGAGAACCTCTGTTTACGTTTGAGGAGTTGAATACTTTTGTGGTAGAAGTAGAGGGTGTCCTCAATTCCCGGCCTATCACCACTATATCCTCCGATCCGAACGACTTGCTTGTGTTAACTCCCGCTCACTATTTGATCGGCAAACCACTAACGACCCTTCCGGAGGGCAACCTATCATCTGTTCCAGTTAATCGGTTGTCAACCTGGCAACATATCTCGAAGGTCCGACAAAATTTTTGGGCACGCTGGAGTCTCGAGTATCTAAACGAGCTCCAAGTACGTGCCAAGTGGAATAAGAATGGACCGAAATTCGAGATCGGAACGGTAGTCTTGATAAAGGACAAAGGCCTACCCTGCACACGGTGGGTGTTAGGCAGAATATCGAAGCTGCATCCAGGTGAGGATGGAATCACCCGAGCGGCCACCATACACACCACGAGCGGAGAAATGAAGCAAGCCATCAATCACCTGTGTCCGCTACCATTCGAGCAACCACCACGCGATTCCGACCCATTGTAATAACGCCTAGCATAATTGCGTCGCCGTTCACGATGCCATGGAGACGCGAAACCAGCTCCATACGCGAATGGCCAGAATCGTAAAAACTAGCCAAAGGGGTTGATCGCGACTCTCTCAACGGGGGGAGTATGTTGCATATAACGTAATACCTTCACACACACATGCGTATACGCACACACACACATTCATATCAAGTCGTGCACGACACAAGGCGCAAACAATTGTAACACCTAACATACATACGATTATGAGGTTCGGACACACGCGCGAATAGGAACGCGGATACGTGGGACAATCGCGGCTTGGTGACGGTGGCTTTGATGTCTTTCGCGCAACCATGCCGAGTGTTGCGGGAAGCCGACGAGCATTTTTTCGACTCGCCGGCTTTTTACGTTTCATTCGCTGTCAGACAAAAGAAGCGCGGCTCGGTTGGCGGCGCGACCTTTTTACGTTTCATTCGCTGTCAGACAAAAGAAGCGCGGCTCGGTTGGCGGCGCGACCTTTTTATGTTTCATTCGCGGTCGGATGAAGGAAGCGCGGCTCGGCTGGCGGCGCGACTGATCATCGCGCGCCAATCGTGAGCGTTTTCCCGAAGAATATATATGGGACCGATCCATCCGCTCCCGGTCAGTCTTGTCTCGACGTTCAAAGCGTGATCGTGTCCGAATCTTCTATAAAGACTCGGGGCATCGTTCCCCAAGCGCAAGACATACCGGCCTCCCGTCACGACCCAGGGATACCGTCCTCAAGGCGTCGTCGTGTGTAAACGGATGTCGTATCACGACTCAGGGACGTTATCCCCAAGGCGTCGTCGTGCGTAAACGGGTGTCGTATCACGACTCAGGGACGTTATCCCCAAGGCGTCGTCGTGCGTGATCGAAGTTATCGAGAGCGACAATCAGAGAAACGGACACATGTATGGTTACCAAATATACTGTATAAGGTGGTGGATAGTGAGTGAGAAATAAAACAAGGACAGTGTGCACCTCAAAACGTTCATACTGAAATTTCCACAAAACAGTTATAATTTCTCTCTGTAACATCTTAATCATTCCACGTGAAGCGAGATCCACTCCACACCTCGGACATAGTGTGGGTAGGGTTATATTTTAACTGGGGCGGGGGCGGGGAGGGGGAATGGAGCGGGGAGAGGAGGGGG